CTATTCGAAGAGCTAGTTGATAATGGGAAATGACCCTATCATGTCACAAAATGAGAGAGGTTTAACGAAGAGTAATTGAGCACTTTCGACTGATTACTTTTGAGACCTTGCTCAAAGAATATAAACACATTTTTATTGCATCTTTCAAGTCTTTGATGAGGTATGTTATACCAATTATGTAGTGCTAGACACGCTTTTGTGCTAATTATGCTAACAGGATGTACTATATGTTTTGAGCAAACTCTCAAAATATTTGAGTGAAAGTGTTGATTTATATATTGGCGTAATAGCGCTGAGCCGAGCTGATGGCAATCGACAATCAGTCACTCTGAAAGACCGTCATGGTGACCCTTTTACCCTACACAGAGTATGACTTAGCTTCTATCCATGGGGACGAGCTAAGGCACCGTGCTAGTTATGAGTCCGGATGGCCGAAACAGGCATAAAAAGTTTAGAATATGCTGTCAGAAAGAGTAAACAATTACTCGCAGGCTTTTTGATTGAAGTCGTATATATCACTATTATATGACAAAGTAGTGAACCAACTTTCATGTAAAAAACCCAAAAAAAATTATAAAATTGCATTCGGCTCATTCTGGGCCATGAGGTTACAGGGAAGGTTTCTCTATTGTGCTTCTGAACATTGCAATTAATTGTAAACTTCTGCTCACAGATGTCGTATTGTATCTGACCTCTTCATTAAGTCGACTCAGAGCAGCGAGGAAAGTAGATCTGCATAATATTTCGAATACTCAAATGTTTGCAATAACGCAGTTTCGCTATAGATCATGGTGGGATGTTCAAATGACAAACAGCAGAGTTTTTCCTCCTTCGTGACCTGAAGTTACTGGAATGTAGATCGCAAATTTATTGTTAATTACTTATGTCACTTGTACCCAGGAACATGAGCAAGCGGCAGTCTTCTGAAATAATGACGAAAATTCAATCCGTGTTCCTGCAGCAGTATAAGCTGGCTGTGAATGAACTTTGCTAATCGAAACAAAAAAGGTTGCAAATTATTTTAGGCTTTTGAAGGTGACGACGTCATTGTAGTCGATTTCAACTCACGTTGAGTGTGCAACATGTTTATATAATATCTTTGATGCTCGAGGAAGTAGTAGCCAATGAGCGAGAGAACTACCAAGTATGGGTGATGAGGCAAAGTTATGAATCTCAACCTGTTTAGCATTTGTAGCGCCGGTGATGCATATGATTTGACTGTGCGTTATCATGGAGATGGTTTGATTCTTTTCCAAACAGCTTGCACTGTGTTTCATTGACATAATAGAGCGTTATCAGGTTGGAAGCCCGCTGAAAATAATCAGCTTCTGTAACAGCTTTGAACGAGTCATGCGGTGGAATACCGCCTTGCTGACGAAACTTCCAGCAGACGGTATAAAAGCCAACACCCCGTTTCTTCAAACGTTTATACATAGTGTTTCTCGCTTCATTTTCAGCTACTTCTATTTCTATAAGACTGCAGCAATGTCTCTTAGAACTACTATTCATTCGCTAGTCTCTACAGAAGAAATGATTTCTTTTGAAGCAAGAAAATGCTCCTCTTTTAAAAAGAACTCTCAGTTGAGGCATAACTCAGTCTAACATTCTATACAAAGTGAATAGGCAATGTTCTGGAAAAATCTAATCATACAAACTTTGGCAAGAGAAAACATGGCATTCTCTACTTAGGCATTGTGCTTGAAAAATTTCTATCATAAGAGATCCTATCCTTTAGCAATGAAAGCCGTTCTCGTTCTTGCCACGTTCGTGGCCATGCTTTATGGTGAGGTGTACAAGATGGAGGCCCTCTCAACGGGTTCGCTCATAGCCGTCTCATCAAGTAAGATCTACAAGCAAGTCTGCCTACTACTGGCCAAAATTGATAATGTAATTGGAAACACTGTTTTGTTGCTTCAAAATCTAAAAAGGTGTTACCAACTGGTTTGCACTACCACTTCCCTGACTTTCCTACCATTTTCTTCGCCTTCCAGATTACCATCACCTTTCCATCGTATCGGAAATAGTGGTCTTCTGATGAGCACAGCGACCAGTAGAGAAGTTTAGCTGCTTCAGATATCAAAAGAGTAGGAAACTATTTCTGAGTAGAGGAAAATTTATTAGCAGATGAGAGTATTCGGATAGAGTAACGCCTAAAATAGTGCTTATTGAGAAAAGTAAAAGACTGGGTTCAATATCGAGACCTGCTGTCCGAACCACGTCGTTGACAGCTGGCGGCTGACAGATAGATGAGCTGTAGCGTAGAAAGATTGATAGAGAAAAATGGACGTCTGTAGTGTAACGGATAGAGCACTCGCTCCCGGAAAGGGTGAGGTGCGAGTTCTAGTCCCACCTGAAGTAAAAGTTTCGCATATTACTCCACATCAATTGAGAAAAGTAATGATGAGAAAAATAACGCAAGTTCGTAAAGTCTGAAATTCTTGAAATCGATAGCCAAAAAGATCTTACATTTGAGGGCCAATCTCTATCACAAATACCTGGAAGAGAGAAGCTTTCGTCGTGTCCAATTACTCAAGAAAGGGTCGCAACCGATCATGGACTACTATAACACCATCTACACCGTAAACATCACGGTAGGAACACCAGGTGAGTATAATGAGCAATTTCTATCAAACACGTCGCTAGCAGTTTTCATTTAAAAAAAAAACAAAATGTTAAGTGCTATTTAAAATATTGGGCTCCAAACGGGAAACAAACCCACATTTCATTCTTTTGAGGGAGGAAGGGGTCTGTTAACCATTTCACTTCCAAAGCTCCTGTTCTGTTATCACTTTTTATGCGATACAATGTATCGATCGGTCAACACCGAAGCATCATTGATTTGATCTAATAAGCACATACCGATTTCGACCTCAGTTGCACTGAAAAATGTGCGTAAAAATACTGTTACAAACCCTATCGAAACACCAAAAGATGTTTAGTATTAGGTGAAACTCTAATCCTTGTATGGAAGAACTCGCATTTCATCCTTACTTGGGATAGTAGGGATGGAGCGCAGGTTTCACTTCAATCTGATGTTCAGAGTTTTACATATCATCCAATATCCCTGGACATAATGTTCTAACTTCATAGCACTTCAGTAAAAGTTGTAAAATAAGAAAATTTCTGAATATCATCTATTGAAAAAAGTTGAAATGATTCTGAAAAATTCCTTTCAACTTCTATTTTTGAAGAAGATAAGAGAGAGTTAGTAAGGAAGATAAAAGAAAGTAGTAGGAAAAGATACGAGGACACAGAGAAGAAAAGGACTATTGGAAGAACATTTTACTTTGCTATAGAAGAGATATTAGAGTGAAATGCGTTGCTAACAAGTTATTCACAAAAAGAATCCGGCATTTGTCTCGCACCTTTTCACACACACTTTTTATCCCATTTTGTAATTGCATTAGAGACAATGTGAAGATGCTCGAATCAAGAAGCTTTGAATCATGCCAAACATTGATAGTGCTTTTGTTATAACATAACTAGCATTGATAGTGTTTTGTGTTGTTAGGCGGTTCGATTCCCGCCTGAGGCCGCGTTTTTGTTCACCACTCAATTCGCTTTTGTTATATTTGAAAATTTGTTCAAATACAGGTCAGAGCTTTGCTGTGGCGCTAAGCACTGCCTCGTCGAACCTCTGGGTGATCGACACCGATTGCAAGCGATACCCTTGCGATTACCATGTCGACAGTGATTATACAAGGCACAAATTCAATAGAACAGCGTCTTCAACGTTCTATATGGTTAACAGCTCAGTCTCTTTTGATTTCCACTACGGTTATGCGTCTGGAATGCTTGCAATGGATACCGTTTCTTTCGCAAGTAAGATTTTAAGATAATATCCACTCAAGCGTTATATAAACAATATTTCGTGAAACAGAATTATCAACTCACAAGATAATATATGTTCACTTGCTAGCAACTTCTAATGAAGAAAAAGAAGAAAACGAACCACTACGTTTTTGCTAGAGAGTTCAAAGAGTGTAAAAGAATGTTACATAAGAGATAAAAAAAGAATAACTGCAAAAACTTCACAATATCTTTGGGCCACAAACTGCACAAAATGTGTATTGCAGAATGTCGCTCAAAAGCTGTGAATGCTGAATCAGTGTAATAAGTTTGACATTTTCACAAGCGCATAACCCTTTGAGGGCTGCGCCATTTTTGGTTGGTGGGGACTCGGACGGCTACGAAGAGAGGCTGCCGGCGCCCACTCTAGGGCAATTGCGGCAGTTTTCTGATGAAATTTATATTTTTTCGTTAATAAATGGGATTTCTTTGTCAGTAAACGGTCAAGTATGATAGAACAGACTTCAATAAGGTTATTCTTACTAAAAATAAACGTAATTGCTCCATTTATAATCCACACTTTCAAAGGGAACAGCCGGGTGCTTATAAAAGGCTATTCTGAAAACTTTTATCAAACCTTTTGTAGTATTGTATTTAGATTTGCTTCGCAATTCATTCCAGGTTTACCTTTTCTTCCAATTTTCATATACTTTTCTGCATAAAAATACATAAGCTTACCATAGGTCGTTGGAAATTCGAAAACAATGAAAAGTTAGTTAAAAAGAAGTGCTGCTTATAGCGTGGGATCCCACCTCATCGATAACTCTCAAATTTTTCTGATTATTTGTGCACTCTAAATTCTCATTTCTCATATTTGATGCGTAATTTCGTTCAAACTGTTTACTCATAGCTATGGTATACGAACAAGAGAAGGAGATGTAGCAGTTCCTTTCCGTTATCTGCATTCTACTTAAGCCTTTGGTAAAAACGTATTTTTTAGTTTTGCAAGACTTTATGGTAATTATACGATAACTAAAATCAAATGCAGAAAAAGCACTGAAATCACTACAATTTTTGAGTATTCAATGTAGCGGTGGTTATCAGCTCAACAGTGTTTGTGTAGCGAAATCGCATACCCGACCAAACCTATTGAAGGTTGGTGGCTGATAGCTAACATAGAGCTGTTGAAGAATAAGTGATGGGACAAGTATGCCTCGGTGGTGTAGTGGTAGAGCACGCTTTCCTGGGTAGCATGAAACGCGGACTCGATTCCGACCTGAGGCCATGTTTTTCTCATCACTCAATTATCTCAGGTATTTATGAAAATCAATTGAATTGAAACAACGCATTCTTATTCTTGAAAGGCGTGTTTATTTACGCCTATAACAATCGAACTAGGTTTTTTCTTTCACATTCAGACACTTCTCTTCAGATAAAGATTTTTTCGTAAGCAATTCCTTAACCATTAGATAGAGCAAATCTTAGAAATTTCTACAGTGAACACGTTTTAGGTAGAAAGAACTGCTTGTTGCGCTCTGTCAGCCAAAGAAATTTTAGATATTGCAAGTTGGGATCACTTTCGATGTCCGCATCTTGGTTTGACGTCTTGGGAAAAACGCTTTTCTGACTCCTTCAAGAGGTCCAAAAATTGCTTGATATCTGAAACTTCGACAGTTTTGGAGGCTTACTTTATTGCCAGAATGGCTTCCTTAATGCGCTCTAGCAATAAAACAAATTATTTCTCACACACAATCATTCTTCGCTAAAAAAACCTTTCCCGCTAATTATGTAATATTGTTCGAAAGCTCAAATCTCGAATACTCCCACAGTAACTTTGTTTTTGAAAAAAACTCCTTACTGTACTGCAGCAGTCAAAAGACGGTTACGTTTCGCAGCTGATCGGGATGGTGCGAAAACCGCGGTGACTAACGGCCCATGTCGTGAAGTCCCCACTCTCTGGAGTGCAAAACCCAATCTTATCTTACTGTTACAGCGATATGAGGAGCCTGTTGCAAAAAAGCAACTATGTTTTTGAAATTGTCAAGATTTACCCTACGAAAGGTTATTGATTGCTTGTAAAAAAAACTTAAGCGGGCTAGAAATTTTCGAATGTGAAAGAAAATTCTATTTCGACTGTTACAGCGCAAAAAACGGGCCATTTGAGAAATAAAATATATCAATCAAACTCAGTTGACCTCACCTATTGAACGAATATCAATATTTTAATAGAACAAGTTCTTTTCTAGAGGAAAATAAAAGCACACAGCGCAATCCTTGAAATCCGGTTGCATGCGACCAGAAAATTATTTCCAAAAGTAAGGATTTTCAAGACAGTTGAGAGGCTATTATTTGTACAAATATGTCCATAAAAGCTTTTCTAATACTAGTCTGAATTTTTTTCTTGACGAAAAAAATGCTAAGATTTCGAAATTTCTGATATAATCCCAAAAAATCCTCTATGAATTGGAAAAAAGTGCGCTGCCATTGCAAAGCGTCATATTTATCTATTATTAGAACGTATTGTTCATTTCTTATCAAACAACAACCTTGGTACTAGAAACCGGATTCTTCATGTTATCGATTAACTACAAAAAATTCTAGCAATATTTCATAATTTCGAGATCATGTAGCTCTGAGATTTTGATTAACTCAAATTTATATTGGAGCACGCACCACCCTTAAGAAAAAACATCCGAACGGCGCGTCCAGCTGTGGGTCATAATGACCCCCATCGTCCGCAAAGGGATGAATTTTTGGATAAATTAAACTAACCATTTCATAAACTCCTTTTTCGTTCATTCTAACGAGAAAATAAAACTGATAGAGAAAGTGCGTGTATTGTACTGGTCATAACGGTCAAAGGTGTCCCACATCGCACAGTGAGTGATGACTCGTCATCTACTAGCGCTCATCAATCTATATATGACGTATCAACTCAACGTTACAGATATGACAATCAAACAGCAAGGAGTTTCTTGATGCTAGTGATATTGACGATGCTTTCGGCGACCTGCCATTTGATGGCGTCCTTGGACTTGGCTGGCCAGCACTTGCCGTTGGAAATGTGATTCCACATATTTGATAAGCCATCTACCAGCATACAAAACCTGAAAATAAGTCAAAAACTTGAATTGTTGTAGGTGACTTCACCAATGGAAAATCTTCTTCCTAGCCTTGAGCGCCCCTCTATTCACTGTATGGTTGAATAAGAAGGTAAGCTTGACTGAAAATTGAGCAGTTTCCAAACAATGATTCTCTAGGTCAGTATGGTTTCGGAAAAGTACATGCACGTTCGTTTGAATTCAAATCAAAGCTTTTTCCATATAGGAAATACTTTTATTTGCTATTCCCATACACCACTCAACTCAAGTCACGGACTTTTTTTTTCAATCTTCCAAACCACCTTGCGCAGTTTTCTCACCAATGTCAAGAACGAGATTATTATAATAGAACCCATTCGAGCAGCTGTACGTTTGGTGATTTCACCTTCTTTAGAGCCTGCAAACAAAGATCAGGTCGCCACAAACCATTGAGCTAAAACACCTTCATTACTTCAATGGAAAAACTCACCAAAGTTTGCAATTGCATTACAGCATATGGCTGCTTTTTACTACGACTTTTTAGGAGTCTAATACTGCGTTGTCCAAAAAGAAACCATCATGAGGAGACCATGTGGTCTACTAAGGCACCAAATTTAAATAATATTTATGTATACTGTGACATATCACGTGTGCTAAAATAGCATTTTACTTGCGATTTATATTGGGGTATAGTGGAGCTTATCCCAAATGCTTGCAAAACCTTACATCTTGGGGATATCATGTTTTTTGCGCGAGGGTGGTAACTTCTGCATTGAAAATCATCCACGTTATTTATCGTGAGCTTAATGCAAACCTGGCGCAGTGTTGATTTTCGCCGATATTTCAGTCATTGCGACCCCTTTTTTTGGGCCTGTCCTTTCAAACAACGTTTCTAGCTATACTTATTTTGGTTTCCAAAGAAGGACAGGATAAACGGGATCCTGATGTCGCTGAAATTACGTTCGA